GGAGTATAGTCACGAAATTTCAAGTAGAAATGTAGCTTAATTTTCTTGTAGGATACAAGACCAGTGAGGAAATTGGATAAAGGCTGATTTAGTTAGACAATACTACAATACAATACATTTGCACACTTTTCATGATTTAAATTATTCAACATGAAATTGACCTCAAGAATCTCAAAGTCTGATTCAATTCTAAGGTATTGCCCACGAGGGACCAACTGTTGATGTGGGGAATAAACGCAAATTTTCGGATAATTTACTTTGTTTTATATAATTATAATTAGTCTTGCAGCAATCATGCCTTATTTTACTGCAATTCTGTTTACACGCCGATTATACAGCTTCTTGGCTGTTAAATTATTTAACACTAAGAGCAGGTCAAAGTATGTCGGCCGAAACGTCTGTACAAAATCGTCTGTATATTGTATGTACGTCTGTATAAATGAAGCATTGACAAAAATGGTCTTCAATATTATTTACTATTTTACGAGAGTCTCCCTTAGGCCTCAAAAACACTTTCAAGCTCATGAATCTCAGAAATACTTTGATTGTGCACCTATCTTTACGAGAGGGTAAATTAATTTCTTCTACACTGAGAAAAAACTGATTTTCATCCAGCTAGTCTATAAGTGGTGCTGCGCACCGACGAAATTGGCATTGTACCTACAGTAATTTAATTTACACCGACTAATTTACATTAACACTGCATTAGACTAACGCAGCAAGTTTGAACTCGATTCGAGAGAAAGAATAACTTTAATTTTTTCATTAGTTATGATACCTTCAAGACGATTCACTTACTGGGCACTTTCTTCCAACAGTTCCCTTTTCAAGTTCCAATTAGCGCCTCTTAAAGAGCGGAAAATCGCACGATTCTGGGACTGAAAGTGGAAACTTTTAAAGAAAGAGAGCACTGACATCGCCGAGAGGTCTAATAAAATTACGCAGGATTGTAAATTCATTTTTTAAAAATCCCTCGATTTTAACCCCGAAGCGACGCATCATCCGAGGCGAACTACCTCTCTTCCCTCTTTTTTATGAGCAGAGAAATGCGAAGCATAAAATATTATGCGTACACTTCATGAAATTAGATAGAGAGCGAATCTAATATTACTTACCTCGTAAAACCTAAGGAACTTTATTGTTTTTGTTGAAACTTTGCCCGGAAGGAAGGAGGAGGAAGTAAGAACCAAATCTTCTCAATGTTCTTTATGTCTAGAAATTCGTTTAAAACTCTGAAGCTTCCCTTTTATAATAATTTTTCAGCGGAGGAAGGACGATAAAAGAACAGCCACAACAAATGCTTTGCCTTTAAAAGCTTGTCTGGCCTTAAAGAAAGTTTCAAATTAGTCTAACCATGTGTTGAGTCTATCAACATTCGCATTACGTCACTCCTTGTAGGCGTTTGAGTATCAACAAAGAAACATTTACTTTCCTTTAACTTTTTATAAACACTTATTTATGGCACCGCGTCATGTCTTTTATGTATTTTATGTGGACCATAAAAACGCTTAGCAGAGAAAGAATGATGATAACAGGCAATGGTTTTAAAAAATCATAATACGAATACATTACATTTCTGCAATTTTCTGTACATTTAAGATCTCGGTAAGGCGCGGGTAAAATTAAATTTTTTCTTGCTTCAATACGTATTTTACATAAATCATTTTATAAAATTGATGTAGTGAACATTTACGCTATGATACCTTTACCATCTGCTACTACCTCAGTATTTCTACTATGTATTGGGAAAGTCTTATTACTCTATTACCAAAAATCAGGGGTAGAATGGCCACTTTACAGCAGTCAATCACTTTTTTGCGTTGATTGCCAGTTTTGAGGATCACAGGTAGGCCTTGAACATTCCGACGTAGAGTACACAGAGAGGTCGACTAATCAGAAGTGGCCGGATAATTGACCAAGCAGTAATTGCCGTTTGCATGTAAAGCTTTCCAAAACTCCGTGGAACATTTCCTCGATAAAATTCTTCACTTCCATTTTTTTCCCTCTAAAAGGTACAAGAAGCTATCGGTAGGAACAAGAACCGAAAAAGTTCGCTTAGTTGTTCCTCAGAATTATGCGTCAATACATTTGCCTCTCGAGGATTTTCATTAAGATAGAGCTAGCGAAACGCAATAACATCTGCAATTATTTCTTACCAACTGCAGTTTTATATGAAAACTATAAAACGAGAGATTTCTTCATTCAATGCTGCGCAAAATAGAAATAAGTAACATTGTAACATCTTCACCCCGTTCATGTAGCTACGTGTTAGGTTAGGTTAGGTTAGGTTAGGTTATTAGGAAAAGAATAATTCGTAGGGGTTGGCAGAGAGGATGCTAAAATGCACATAACAGTTGTGTACATTGCTGTCTTGCGAGGTGTCGTGTAGTTACTGCTGTCTCATTGGTAATTACGACAATTTTTACGTAACTGTTGCTCCCATACATGCCTCGATTTTTGCATTTCTACTTTTTCAGGAACAACTAACTTTGCATTTCAGAAGTAGGGGCCACTAGGCAGACTGCTCTTCAAAGTTCTGGCTATTGCTTTCTGTTTTTGAGCTTCACGTGAAATGGCGTTGCCACTACATCAGTCTATTAATGAGATGGAAAAATATCAGAGTAGCCGAGAACATTGGTGTAACTAGGAATTCTCTGTGGAGGGGGCCAGGAAGGTACATTATCATGAAGAATCTGAAGGCATATAAGACATCCCAGCGCAAGCAATATGGTGAAGCCTTAAGTAGCTCTTAGCAATTTATTAGCCTGGTAAAAATTGGCAGTTGAATCTGCGTTCCAAAATACCATAGACCTACAGCCGGCTGTAAGATTTCCAATAGCTTTTATAGCCGGCTACACAATTTCTTATAGCCTGTTATAGCCGATGGCGATTAAGCAACAGCCAGGCGCTAAAGTGTATGCTAAACGTTATTAATTACGGATACTAGGACTTGGCGAGTTTTTGAACTACCGGTCTCTTTTTGTGCCATAGTATCTTGATTTATTTTGCGAGGAAAGCTCCGTACTTTTGAAGGATGCCTGCCATTCCTAATATATTAGAGCGCCTTCAGTTTCGTATGATACTGTGCAATACCTCTGGTGTGAAATAGTTGCTTCAGACGCCGTGGCACGCTGCGGCGCGGCGGGCAGGCAGAGAGCACAAAACGCGCATTGGCGCCTACAAACCTAACAGGGATACCTCACGCATTGCACAATGCGTGAAGTATCCCTGTTAGGTTTGTAGGCGCCAGCGCGTCGTCGCTCCGCTTTGTGTTAGGCTCTAATATTGAATCTGGCGGAGTCAGCGTTATTTAACTCATGATTTTGAAATTTTTGCACATCCTGTATGGATTATTCTCATTTTAATTGATGAAAAAAAATATAAATTAAAGGAAAATATAATGTGTGTTTTGTAAATATTAACGTGGTTCCGTATCAAACTTAATGATTTCCAAAGCACACGAATTTCTACACAATTTCTTATAGCCTTTTATAATCGATGGCGAAAAAGCAATAGCCAGGCGATAAAGTGTAAAGCCCGGCGATAAGAACTATAGCCCGGCTGCATAATTTTTTATCGCTTCGTATAGCCCGGCTGTATGATTTTCTCCGCATTCTACAGCCAGCTGTATGATTTTCTGTAGCCTCCTTTAGCCGGCTATAAGAATTCCTATGTTATTTTGAAACGCAGCTCTTATCGCCAATTTTTACCGGGGAAGGGAAGTTCGGAGAGACTTTCACAGCTCCAAAGGGGGTTCAGGGAGCCTCCACGAGCAGAATTTTGAAAGGCTGAGTCGACATAAGATAAATTTTGATTTTTTCTCATCGAAAAGTTTATTGAAATACAATCACAGTGATCAAAGATGGACGATTTTCTCTTAACAGGACCATGTGCAATTTTCAAACTTTCCAGTTGAGCAAGTTTTGATAAAACCATTGGCGTTTCTTCATTAATGGACCGATTTTGAATCTCTGCGGCCTGTTTGAAAATCGAAGAGCTCCTCTAAGATAAAAATTGCCAAAACTCCAAAAAAATTTGAGAGTCAACTAAATTTTGCGAGATAGAGGGAAGATTGCACATAGTTCCGTTTAATAGAGCGCAGTATCCCGACTAGCGCATTACATCAAAAGGGGACCACACTTAGTTCCATTTGATTTAATTCGTAATCCTCCGTCCCCCGTTTTACGATCTTTCATGCGCTATTCAAACGGGATGAGATGAGTTTTTCCGGGACATACTCATACCTCAGAGTAGCTCAGATGATGTAGAATACAAATCCTCTAAAAACTGAAAATTGAAAATTTGGCACTTAGTTCCCTATAGTCGAAATACGTCCAGATACGTCACGCACGTTTCGTAAAATTCATCACAAGATTTCTGGGGGGCAGGCCTACTCGGGCTCTCCCCAAATTCCACCATTGGCGGATCCAGCAACTTGGCAACATTGTCTTTTTTTTCCATTTAAACCTATGAAAATGTATCGATTCATGGAGCGGCTAGGCGCTCCGACAAGAATCGATTATTTAGCATAGGTTTAAATGAAAGAAAACCGGTGTTGCCAAATTGCTGAATCCGCATCTGAATTCCACCCACAGCTGAGAGTGTGAAATACTAGGGAAAGCCGCGTTACGAGAGCGACTCAATTGCACCTGATCCCGAGGCAAGTGCAAGAACTGAGAGCCCAACCTAGGTCGCCTAACGAGGAGCCCGGAGCCGCACCCAATCAAAGAGCCCCGATCGTCGAACGCGTGACGTCACGGATTGATGAGAGCACTCACGAGTCGTAATCCGTGCTGCACTTACGTCAGTTAAGCATCGAGCTTAGAGGGAGACGCGGCGCGGCGCGACGCCGGCTTATCACAGAGCAATTAGGGTTGCCTATTCGATTGAGGGATTCGCAGCGCATACACCTCCACCGCCACCCCCTCGAGCCGGGGGGCGGGGACCCGAGTCGGGTGAGGGTGACTGCCCCGAGTTCCTCGTCCTCAGTCGTTCTTCGCTTCCGCTCGGCGTCAGTGCGCTCGCCCCCGCTTCGCTTCGTCCGCGACCACGTGCTTTTTTTCGCCGCTCCAATCATCGTTGATCTCGACGAGTCATCGGTGACCAATCGGTTGATAACAAAACTCGCGCCTCGCTTCCACGTGATTAGACCGCACCAGGGCAAACATTTTTATACAAATTTTCTCACACGCATACTCTACGTTCATTTTATCGTGGATTCGATCGAGTCATCGGTAATAAATTGTTATTTCGTAGTAGATTATAAAAATTGCACGTCTATTCATATGGCAAAACAGGGTTACAACATGAATCCATAGTTCTCTCTCCGTCCTGTTTTGTCACTGGTGTTGTAACTTCATTGATTTGACTGAACCATCGATGATGTCTCGTCTTTGAAAGCGAAAGTCGTGCTTCTTTTGCACGTTGTGAAAAATACATAAAAAATAATTCGGGTATTTTTATCCCGTTGAATATAATGTCCACAGCTCGACGCTAAAACTTGTTTTTTTACGTGTAAAAGGAAGAGCAATGCTTACTGGTGACGGTGATTTTTTGGCTGTCGAAAACGAGGAATGGAGATCAATAAGAGTGAATATTGGGTAATGTTCTAAACCCTTTCATTTAAGAACTGTAAGGAAATAGGTTACTTCAGAAAGTGACACAATGATTCGCTGTACTATTCACGAGTTCAAGGTGCCAGGCTTCCACTAGCTTCCGTTCGCAGCACACTCTTTATAATCAGTCTCAGGCGCGAAATTCCGTTTCCGTCCCGGACGGTTTCGTGATTGTATCAACGAATAAGTGCCGTGCATTCTGATAGCTTGCAGTTCATCGGAGCAGATTAGAAAGTGACGCTGTCGAGGGATGAGGACGGTTCGTTGAGGCAGACTTAGATGCTGATGGATTCGATCTGAAAGCTGTTGAATATTTAATCCGTCGCTGGATTTCACTCTTGAGTGGCCTCGTGGTTTTTTTTGGCGGGAAAAACGGAACTGCACTCTCGAGAAAATGAAGCATGGAAAAGGATTTCACCACACCGCAAGAGCTTTCACGCAGTAGCTACTTACACTCGCTCTAGCGCTCATTTCTACCTTCGAGATATTCTAGTCAGGTAAGCTGTTTCACATTTTTACTGGCACGTTCTTTACCGGATCGTTATCTTTGTGGGTATCCAATCAAAAACATTGAATGTGACAAACTTTACGTTTAACCATTCGTGGACAGAAATACAGTGATACTCCACAAAATAGACGCTAAGAAAATTTCATTACTGTTAATTTAGAGTTTCTCCTCCCTGCAACATTACTATCGGGAAAACGCAAAATATAGACATAAAAATAATTTGAAAAAGTCGATACTAATTTATCAATTGTTTTTGTACCATTGCAATACAAAAAATTGATACATTTTTGTATCGGTTTTTTTAAAATATTATTTGTCTATATTTTCCTTTTTCTCAACAATACTACTGAAGGGAGGAGAAAATTTAAATTAATATTTAGGAAATTTACTTAGCGTCTATTTTGTGGAATTCACTGTATTTTTGGCGATGAATTTGTTTGTATTCTCAGCTTGACGGCTCATCTTTACATGGAAATATTATTGGTGGGATATCGTGGGGTTTCTCGCTGAAGTTCATGGTGTAACCAAAAGAAAATAATGATCAGATTTTTGTGGATAAAAATTCCCGTTTCTCGTCGAAAAATACCCCCTGATATGATACCAAGTTTCAAAAAAATTGATGGAACAGGAGCCGAGATAGCATTCTATGCCACACTCGCCATCTTGGATTTGCGAATGTTGAAAATATGACTGAAAATTCGAGTTTCTCGTCGAAAAATACCATAGTAATATATGATCTTTGATGACGAGCTGGATGGAGGCGTTCAGTGAAATAAGTTCCTCGTCTCTTTTTCTTCCTCTTTTCTTCTTAAGGAAGAGGACGAAGAAAAAAGAGGTGGATAGAGGGAAATAAAAAATAAGTACTTAAAGAGAAAGAAAAAGAAGTTGAAGATGAAGGAGAAGAAGAAAAAGAAGGGGATAAGAACAAAGAAAAGATGAAGAAGAAAAAGAATAAGACGACAAAGTCATGGAGACATTGAATGTCGCAGCGCTTTTATGAGGAACGTTCATGTTTTTAAAACGTCGTAGCTCATTTGATATTTAGTTCAAAAGTATTATCACAAAATCGACACTCCCTAGTCGAAACACGAAGAACCATTGGACCATATTTCATTTTGACACGGGTCAAAAAATCTGAAAAATTACCTACCGACAATATACACGGTGAAAAAAAGTTCAGTTTATATACTCAAAGTTTTTCGGTTGAGGGGACCGAAGTGTTTGGTCACAGAAACCATTTTGGTTCAGGTAACCGATATTTGGTTCCTATTACAGAAAAAATCGGTTACCGGAACCGGAATACTACGGTGTGTTCGATACGAACCGAAGCTTAGTCGCTGTAATCGAATTGTCTTACTCGAAGCACGGGCGATTCCTATACAGATTGTAAAGCGAAGGTCATCACACAGCACGGAGCACGCGGGTAGAGATCTGCCGTGCTGAGGAAAAATGCCGAATGAAAATTCGAGCGTTGCCGAATTTCCTTCGATAAAATTTTTATTTTTGAAGAAAGTTATGGATGTATTCCCTTTGAATTTTCAGAATCTTTAGGTGAAATTGCGAACAAAATTATCCGAAAAATTGGAAAGAAAATATTCATAAGTTTACCAGGAAATTCGCGTTTTATCGAAGGAAACTTGGCAACGCCTAAAGGTTCATGCGGCGTTCCTCCTTAGCGCGGCAGGGACGCTCTGGTCGTGGCTTAGTTTTGACGCCGGCGCCAGTTTCAGAGGCCTAGCGCGCGGCGAATTTCGAGACGGTCCGTTGGTCCGGGAGGAAATTCCACCGTGGCGTTTACACCTTTCAATGAGAGCGCGGGACAACGGCTTTGAGGCGCATCAGCGACCTTTAGGTGAGCAGTGCAGCGGAATGTTGCGCGGGACTCCGCCGAGAAGGAGGGGTGCGCGGGGGAGGCCGTCTCCCTTCAATTTATATCGTTTGATCTGCTGATCAGAATCGGGTCCCTGACAAAGCGACTGCTCCAATTGTTTCCTCTCAAGTTGTCGTTCCTCCGACGAAGAGCGTATCTCGATTCCCACGTGAGCCGTCGGGTGCATGGAGTCTTATGGACAATGGAGCTCAACCCGGAAAGCAGTTACGTCTTTACGTCAGGGTGTCCTAATCGCGATCCGCGGCGACTCGGCTGGTGAAACGCGTCCAGATTATCCCGGCCTCGGCCGAGTTACAAAGCGGGATTAATCCTGGAAGTCGGGCCCCCCGCGCCGCTGCCGAAATGGACACCGGTCACCTCCTAGTGAGCGATGGGATCTAACACGCTGCCGTGCTAAGAAAAAACGCCGTATGATCCTTTGAATGTTGCCAAATTTCCTTTCGGGAAATAATTAATTTTAAACTAAGTTATGAATAATATACCCTGATATTTTCAGACACTTTACATCAAATTACGAAGACAATTTTCAGAAAAATCGAAAGACTAATATTTATAAATTTTCCCAAAAATTTGTGATTTGCCTAGGGAAATTTGGCAGTGTTTTAAGGCTCATACGAAGTTTTTCCTCAGCAAAGCAGCATACAGATAATATTTTAGAGACTCTACTCTAACTATCCAAGCAAAGTATTCGAGTTAGGTGATCGGCGGTACTTTCTGCTGGATGATGATTACTAACTTGCTGAACTTGCCAAGCATACAATTTTCCAAATAATGGCTTATTAATGTCGCGGCTAAGCGAATTTTCTCAAATTAGGTTATGTTTGCTAAATCGATTGCTCAACTCTTTAGTCATCAGTAATCAATAAACGAATCTGATCGTTGACCTCCGAAAATAACATTTACGCCCTAGAGAAGATAGCGGTGCGAGATCTTTAAAACATACTGTCTTTGGTCACTGTCCACTCTATTATAGTGCCGTCATAGGTAGAGTATGATCATGGGAGGAAGGAGGTCCATTTCTGATTGGTTCACCCATCTTACACTTCACGAGACTATCTAAGATTAAAAAATGGCCGACTTCGGACACAGAGACATTATATACTTCCAATGACAAAATCTATTGCAGCAGCACTTTAAAAAGGCATATTTTGGAACCTTAATTTTAAAATAATCCCAATAAAATCCTACTATTGAACATATTTACAGGTTTAAATACTACCATGAACTGATATATTTACTCGTTTAATATCGTCTCACACGATAAACAGTGGAAGAGCCGCAAATGTGTGAACGGTTTCCGTGTGGGTTCGGCTTCAGGATGCCACCGGCGCCGTGATGCGACTATTCGCGCTTTCCGGATGTGCGTGTTACATACGCAAAAATTGAAGGCGCTCCGCTCTATCTTAGCTCACGATTTTCCGCGGCTTAGCGCGTTGTGTCGTTAGATGCAGCTGATTGGTTCTTCCGCTGACGACAACGAGCACGAGAAAATGCTCTCCTATACAAGTTTTATCTCTGACATTTTCTAACCTTAGAATGAAGGGAGCGTTAAGGTTTGAAATCTTCCACGTGAAAAGGGACCTCGGTCCGGGAGGCAAAGGCGACTGTTGTAAAGTTGGATCAAAATTCAAAATTTGAGTTCACGATGTAGTTAGTGCTCTGACGCCCAAAAATTAAGTTACGAGCTAAGGAGGGTAGGGGGCAGTTTCTTTTACTTGAGAGTTGATCCGAGAAAAACCTACTAAAAAGCAAAAACTTAGATCCCGCAAGATTTTTCCTAAGAACCGATCATCAAATGGGTTGTATTTTGTAAAAAGGAACACAGCTAGCATTCCAACGTTGCTAGGATTGTGCAAGTTACTTTCTTTGCAATAAAAACAACTGAAATCATACAAAATATTACATTTACAAACATAATTTTTGGCTTGAATTCAGCAAGAGTAAGGATAAAACTTATTCAGGTGATCAGTGATCACCAACAACTTATTCAGGTGATCAGGTGATTTGCAAGGTGGAAAAAGTTGCACAATCTTAGAGACATTGGAATGCTCGTGGTTCTTTTTTGCAAAACGCAATCCGAATCGAAAACCTTCACCGCGTGTAAAAACTCATCTCGCGATATCAGACCTCTAATCAAGATAAATCTATAACCAACTCCAGGGAGAAGATCAGTACCACAAAAAAACCCAGTATCAAGATTTTGGTATCTTATAGAGGAGTGTCTAATCCTTGATATGTGCATGCAAGTCCACGCCAAGTAAGTTATTAAAGGTTTTGTCGCGGGCTAAATGCTTTGGGATAAAAGTGCGACAATAATCTCTCTGTTGGCATATGAGGAATTAAACAACTTACAATTCAGTCTCTGAGATACACCCGAGTGTAGGAGTGTTCTAGTGAAAAGTCAAAAACCGTATTTTCTACCCATACTGAAAAATCGCTGTTCTCAAAAAGTTGCCGAACTGGACTGTGTTCAATCAGGAAAATCTGAGCGTTGCTTCCCGACAGCAACCTATAAGTCGTAGGGGAAATAGCAGTGAGGATCCTGATTTATATCGCCTCTGGCCACAAAAGTAGGTTACATCATGTCAGGTTAAGTTAGAGGGTTAGTTAAGTTAGGTTACACTCAGAGGCAATATACTATGGAGGCTTTACTCTATTAATTTAGGGTTAGTTAAGTTAGGTTACACTCAGAGGCAATATACTATGGAGGCTTTACTCTATTAATTTAAATAACGTGATCGCGGTTGAGGCAGACGTTAAGTTCAGAGGTCAACGCTGATTTTCACTAGATAATAGTTGCTAGGTACCTTGTTGAGAATAAAACACGCCTAATGATGCCGTAAGACGTGTTCAGGCGGTACGACAACGGTTTGTTGGGCAGTATGACGACGAAGTAAGTGGATTTTGAGTTGAAAGTCGAGGCGAGTACCTTAATGGCAAGTTTTTGCAAATGAGATTAGATTCCGTGCAGAAATTGCTTGGATTTAGGTTCATCAGTCATCATTAGTGGAATCTGAGCGTTGACCTCCGAACATAACTTTCAGACTATAGGGATTCTCAGGAGTGATGTCATGTCTAAATCAGGCCAACACCCAAGC